TTCTCTTCTCTTCTCTTCTCTTCTCTTCTCTTCTCTTCTCTTCTCTTCTCTTTTCTCTTCTCTTCTCTTCTCTTCTCTTCTCTCTTCTTTAACCAGACAGCCACCTGGAGTAGCAGTCTAACCTTCTCAAGAGCAAAAAGGACACTTCACTGGTTTTAGGAACTGGCATGACAAGAGTTATGGTTTTTTTTTTTCAAAACAGGGCCACTGCAGCTTGTCTTTTGAGGTTATAAACCAGCCACAGCAAGAATTTTGCTGGGTTTTGTTGTTTTCCTTCGCCCGCCCCTCCTCCAGTTAATGACTCTGTGTAAGCTATTTTTAAGGGGCATTTCTTGCCTGAAAAGCAAACCGCCTGCAGGAGTGGGATTCTTAACAAGGTGTGCAACGCAAGCCTCTCTTCTCCCCGAGAAGTCGCTATCAATTTAATCAGTGATGGAAAGCATGCATTCTTCCTTAATTAAATTATGCACAGGCAGACAATAGCTGGGCCATCATTTTCAGAGCAAGCAAAAAAGGGCTCTCGGAGACAGGCAAAACAAGGGTTAGGCACCAAAAATTACCGACTGACAAGCAGCTTGTCGGTCCCTGCGTGGAAACGGTGCCCTCCCTGCCAGCCACTTCACCGGCGGAGAGAAAAATCAAGGGCACATAAATAAGCAATGCCGTGGGCGTCCAATTAGAAGCCATTTCCTCAACCCACCGAATTTCATCGGAGAACTACTTGGCCCGGCATCTTTAAATTATTGAGTAGGGAACACAGGCGCCCCCCGCCCCCCTGATTACCGCTGCCTGCGACAGCTAGGTGGGAAAGGCACAATTGCTCTCGGCGCTGGTCTGCAATCAAAGAGGAGAGGAAGGACGGGACTTACGCTGGCAGGTCCCTCCGTTCGTGGGGTCTCCATAGTAACCGGAGATGCACGTCTCGCAGTGTTTGCCGGTGGTCAGGTTCTCGCACTGCTCACAGATGCTCTCGTTGACACATTTGCTGTGCCCGTTGCACTGGCAGGCTGGGGACCAAAAAAAATAAAAAAAAAATTAAAAAGGTGCGATGACCCAAAGGGGGCGTGGCACAAACGCAACACAGTCACATAAGTAAGAAGAGGCCCCTTTAATACCTCCAATTTTGCCCCCAGTGTCCAGGTTACCTTTGGCTGGAGAAAAACTCTCCCAGGAACAGCCTTTTTAAGTGGAGGAAATTCGGTCCGAAAACAAAGTCGCTAAACATCCACACAAACCGCGCTGCAGTAATTAACTGGACAGGGCTGGAGAAGGAATTGCAGACTTGAAAGCCCAGCAAACCACACAGAGTTGGGAAGACACCAGGAACCCAGATAAGTCTCAACGATACCAGATAATTCACGATTTGCTCCCAACAACGTGCTATGTGCAGCTTCCCTTTTTAAACCCTGTGTTCCCAGCTGCAGCAAACGAAGGGAATCAAGGCCCTTTCCTCCCCCGTAAGCCATGCAACTCATGTTGCTCCCTTCTCCGTTCCTGTGTGCCCTAGGATGCAGAGGGGCTGGGCCTGCGTCTTCCTCTGAACTCCCTCTCCCTTGTTCTACCTCTCCCCTGCTCTGCCCAGCCGGCCTTTGCCCTTCCCCAGTTTCTTCCACAGCCAATGGAGCCACATTCCCACTCCCTGTCAGCTGCTCGGCCTTCCCCTCCGGATCAGATTCCGACAGGGGCATGACACGACTTCTGACAAGCAACAAAGCGGACTGACAATGAGAGCTGGCCCTGGAATCAGGGATCTGATGAGACTGGGTCTGCTTTCTAGACTCCAGCTGGGATGAAAGGAATGTCCTAGAGCAGAGCTGTACCGACCCAGGAAACTAAGATCTGTGGACTCCCTATCCCAGAGTTTCACAGCCAGCCAGCTTCTGAAAATTGGGAAAAGCGAGGTGGATTACGTGATCAACGAACTCGTGGGTTGATTCTATTCCAATAAAGCAGCATATGGTTTTCAGAGGGTGGGACTCTGAATGGGGGAGTGCGTAGTGCTCTCTGCGCCTGGTTGATTGCTTGTGTCAGGATTCCAGCCGTCGCCCTAATTATATCATGATTCCCGAGCCAAACTTCAAAAAACTTTGAAGGATTCATTAGAGGCGACATACTGGCCCTGCCCGGTATGAAGCCAACTCTGGCCTACGTCATTTACAGTCCCCCTGAGACCCTGTTTCCCCCCTCCCTCCCCCCTGGGTGTGTCATCAATCAGATTATCCAATTGAGCACCTTCACGGGCTGGGAGTCGTCAATCACGTTCTCCAATTAAATATATTCGCGGGCCAAAACTCTGGTAATTTAGCTACAGTCTTTTAAAGATAAGAGTTGGAATGTACTCTCGCTTTCCAACTGCTGCACGGCTCTTCCAGATTTCCTTCCTCCTCCCCCCACCCCTGGCAACTACTAAAACAGGCATAGGAATGTTTTATGAGTTGACAGCTTGCAGACATTTCATGACCCACCTAGGTAACATCATCAGGGCTAAAAGGGAGGAGGGGTTTCTCTCTGTCAATATACGAGTGGCTTCTCTTGCCAATGTTGGAGAGGGCATGGTTTTCTCTTTGGTCGTGCCTGGATTAGGGGGACGACTGAACTGGGGAACTACCTAGTTAGGGAACTTTAGCTGTGGAGGTGCTTGGTGCTGTCTGAGTTTGGTTTGCTTGCAGACCCAACAAAGTCAGAATCATCCTTGCTGTGATAACAATGCATTCACCAGTAAGATCACTAGCGTGGATGATGCTACCTAGTTGGGTGGCTAAATGTCTGCAAGCAAATAAGTAAGATCAGAGAGCACCAAGGGCCCTGCAGGGTTTTTCCTTCTCTTCCTCCCTCCCTGTTCCCTACTACCCTAGTTTTCCCTAGTTGGGTCATGAAACGCCTGCAATACAACAACCCAGCTCAGAGAGCACCAAGGACCCCCACAACCCTTCCTTCCTTCCTTCCTTCCTTCCTTCCT